TCTTTATTTCTGCTATGTCATTCTTCATTTCCAGTTGGTTGGTTTTCTTTCTTTTTTTTTTTTTTTTTTTTATCCTCACCCGAGGAAATTTTTCCATTTTTTGTTCAGGTAGAGTGGGAGGGAGAGAGAGGAACAGAGAGAGAGAGAAACATCAATGTGAAAGGAACACATTGAGTGGCTGCCACCCGCATGACCAACCAGGGCCGGGGACAAACTGCAACCGAGGTACATGCCCTTAGCGGGAACAGAACCCGGGTCTCTCCAGACCTCAGTCCGACGCTCTAACCACTGAGCCAAACCGGCCAGGGCCAGTTGGTTGGTTTTCAATGTTTCTATATCTTTACTTATACTGTTGAGCTTCCTGATAATTATTACTCTGAACTCTCCCTCTTATATGCTGCTTAATTCTATGTCATTTATTTCTTTTCCTGCAGAATTATCTTGTTCTTTCATTTGGGATTTGTTTCTTTGTTTCACCATTTTGGCTCTCAGTGGGTTTTGGAGCCTGCCAAATTTTCCCTATGTTGGTGTTCCGCTGGTTATGGCTGCCTCTACTGGGTTTGGATGAGTGTGGGAAGACCCACATGAAACACCACTGTCAAGTCTTATTTTCCTGGGTAGATTTGCAAGCCAAGGAAAGGTTCAGTTATCCTCTAGCTTTCTGCCTGGATACTATTCGTCTCAGTTACTTCATGAGCCTAGATTTGTAGCCCTCAGCTTATGAAAAATCCCTCAGGTGTAAGAGGATTTCCAGTGGGTGAGGCACTTGCTTGCTATCAGATATGATGTTAATGAGCCTCAATTTGCATTTCTCTAGCCTGGCCTGGTGGTGTTGAGTTCCTGAGGGAGGGGCCACTGCTTCTCCCTGGGGCTCTGGGAAGGGGCTCTTTGAGTAAGATGCCCTGTTACAAAGTGATTAAGCACAAAAATTCCCAGTGTTGTCCCATCCAGCTCTCTCCTGAGCCAGGAGCCCCAGACTCTCTCCACATATTTCCAGTCCAGTCCACCCTCCCTCTGCCGGAGCCCAAAGTGAGTTGCTGTAGCTGATTTGGTGCTTTTTAAAGCCCCTGCTTTCTCAGAGGGAAGTGTACTTAGCTAATACAGCTCTCTGCTGCTGTCTGAGGGCTCCCAGCCCACCCTCATGTGCCTCCGCAGGTCCTACCAGGCTCGATTTGGCATCCTTTTTCTGTCCCTGGTTGTACAGGTTCTCTCCAGCTGCTTTTCAGTTGGTTTTCCCTGATGATTTGTCTTTATTTTAGTTGTAATTCCAGTTTGGTGCTGAGAGTTGGTCTGTGTAGCTTCCATTCATCCTGTTGCCATTTTCCACTCCCCCTAATTTTTACTTATGAATATTAATAAATTTAATTGAAGTTTTTAAAAAAATAATTTCTATGCAATCTGTAGTGTATTCACTTGCTAAAAACAAACACACACATTCACACACACTACAAGGTAAGTTTGGTTTTAAAAGATAGTGAAGATCTCTGGTTAAAATGGCATAGAGTTTGTTTTTGTTTTGTTTGTTTATTTCTTTCCTGTATTATATTCCTATATTAAATATGAGTGAAATCATACAGTCTTTGTCCTTTTGTGTAAGAGGTATTTCATTTAGCATAATATCTTCAAGATGTTGTCACAAATGGCAATATTTCATTTTTTTATGAGTTAAGTAGTTTTCAAGTGTGTGTACGTGTGTGTGTGTGTGTGTGTGTGTATCACTTTTTTATCCATTCATTCATTAATGAATAGTTGGGTTGCTTTCATATTTTGACTACTATAAATAATGTTGCAATGAACATGGGGTATTTTCATATTCTTGGGATAACTACCCAGAAGAGGAATGACTGGATCACATGGTAGTTCTAGTCTTAATTTTTTTGAAGAACCTCCATAATGGTTTCCATAGTGTCTGCACTAACTTACATTCCCTCAACAGTGTACAAGGGTTCCCTTTTCTCCACACCCCCTCCAGCATCTGTTATTTCTTGTCATTTTGATCACAGCAATTCTAACAGGTGTGAGGTGATAGCTCCTTGTGGTTACCAGACCAGAAGAGGAGTGGAGGGAGAGTGAAATGGGGAATGGGATTCAAATGTATGGCAATGGATAGGAACTGGACTTTTGGCAGTAAGCACACTATGGTGTATGCAGATATCAAAGTGTAACATTGTAACATTATAAAACTTTTATAATGTTATTAACCAATGTTACCTCAATAAAAAATAAAATAAGAGCACCAGTATTAACAAAAAAAGAGTAGAGAGAATACAAGTCTATTTCCTCTTCCTCACTGCCATTCTAGCTGCACTGGCCTCCCCTCTGTTTCTCAAACAACCAGGCCTACTTCCACCCGGACCCTGACACTTGCTGTTTCTTGCTGAATTCTCTTAGACGTCCACATCCTTATTACTTGTTCCCTAACTTCCTTTAGATCTTCACTCAGACAATACCTTCTCACTGAGGCTTCCTCCCTACCTAAACGACAACAATGCCAGCACACGCTAGATCCATTTCTTACTTTATTTTTCTCTAACACACAACCCATCTAATGTATTATATATTTTATTATTTCTTTTTTGTCTGTCTCTGTCCAAGATAAAAGTCTCAGAAATTTTTGTCACTTTTTTTAATCCTCACCCAAGGATATCTTTTTATTGACTTTTTTTAGGGGGGGGGGGATGAGAGAGACATCAATATGAGAGAACCATCGACTGGTTGCCTCCCATATGTGTCCTGACCAGTAATCGAACCTTCAACCTTTTGGTGTACAGGATGATGCTCCATAACTGATCTACCTGGTCAGGGTGAATTTGTGTCACTTTTATCACTACTTTACCTCCAGTATTTAGAACATTGCCTAGAAAACATGAAACACTAAAAAAATATGTGCTGAATGAATAAACAGCTCTGTGAAGGATTCATGTGGAAATGACAAGGGAAACAAGAAACAAAGAAGAAGCCAAAGTGGTGGAATGAAAATGAGGAAGGACGAATGTTGTGAAATGAGGCTGGAGAAGCAGAGGCCAGATTATGCAGAGTTGAGGAGCCATGCTAAGAATGTCCTCTTCTATTCTTTTACTAATAGAAAACCATTCAAAGGTTCTCATATAAGCAAAATATTAGCAAATGAATGTTTTTAAAATATTATTTTGGATGCTACAAGGAACACAAAATTTTGGTAGGCAACAGTGAATCCAGGGTTCGTTAAGATACTGCTGCAGTCCAATTCTGTTATAACACATCCAAAGAAGTACAAAAATTCATCAGGACTTTAAACTACAAAAGCTTAGAAATAGTATGTGAGTTAATAGCTCCTATTAGGATACACTGTAACCACTGGAATAGCTTTCAATCACTACCATGAGACTATAAATCCCTTTAGAGAAATGACTATATAAAAATAAAAGTACCTGTAGGTAATAATAATGTGAATACTAGCTATTAGGCACCATTCCTTTTTTAAATTCTCACCCAAAGATATGTTTCTTATTTTAGAGAAAGAGGGAAAGAGAGAGAGAGAGAGAGAGAGAGAGAAACATCAATGTGAGAGAGAACAATCAGTTGGTTGCCTCCCATACTTGCTCCGACCAGGGGTCAAACCCGCAACCTAGGTATGGGCCCTGACCGGACATTGAACCTGCAACCTGTTTGGTATACAGGACAATGCTCCAAACAATGGAGCCGCCAGACCCGGGCCCATTAGGCACTATTCTAAGATGAATCTGCAATAACTCATTTAACCTCAACACCACCATATGCAGTAGGTATTTCATAATTTCTATTTTACAGATGAAGAAAGTGAGGCGAAGAAAGACAAACTTCCCCAAGGTTACATGACTAGCAAGTAGCAATCTGATTCCAAAACCCATATTCTTAGTAACTTATTATGCAGACTGTATCTTCTAAGCCTCAAAAAAATTTTTTTCTAACCCTTTCACCACGTCAAACAGTGTCTACTTAGGCACTGGGGGTATATAAAACCTGCCTTCATGGTTTCAATAGACCATGGGGATTTTTAGCAGGTCATTTTAAAAGTGTCCATTTAACAAAGAAAGCCAAGTGGGTGGTCTAACTGCATCAAAGGCAGCCTGACTCTAGAAAACAATTTTATTTTTTCTTTTCCTGTGAATGTTTATTTTACATGGACAGCTGTGTTTTTGAGTTGGATAAAGCAAGACCACTTTTCTCAGATACTTCCCTAAATGTGTCTTGGAAGTTCATGCAAAATGTTAAAATTAATAAATAAAATAAAAACACAAAAATTAAATATCCACATAGATGAATGGTCTAATGGCTTTTATAAACATAAAGACAGATGTTTCTCTGTGTCCCCAAAACTTAGCCTTTCGATTCTGCATATTCTGAATGTTATTCACTAAATAATCTGGAAACAGTCACCACTTCCCAGAAGTGAGAAACAGAAGAAGAAAACAAGAAAGGATAAGAAAGGAGGAAAAGCAATTGGTGCCCTTCCCTCCAGGAAAGCTGCCTTCCACTCCGACCCTGCTGTCGCTGCTGCCCACCGAGAGATTACAAATTCATAGTAATGAATAATTCAGTCTCATACTCAATTCATGATGAAGTCTGAAAAAAGTTAGTAATTTCAAAATTAATCTGTTAAAGTTTAAAATGTAAAAGTCATGCTACCACATATGAGTATATAAAAGCATGACTTGTCAAATCCCAAAAAATGACTGCAGATAAAGCAGAAAAAACACTTTTCACTGAATCTTAATAACCAAGCCCAGAAAAAGTAATGTGTTCAAAATGCCAAATGTGAGTGTTCTACATGCCTAACTCCTAGAACTAGGGTACAGACATAAAGTTTGAAAAAAAAATTTATGGATACAATAAAACTCGACATTAAAAAAATTTAAATTTACAAATCTCTCTAACTGACATGTCCTCAGAACCAATTTAAATTCAAGTAGTTCACAGGATTTACAAGGCAATTTTTTCAGAAGGCAGAATAAGTTTTACCATTATAACAAAAATGTTACCTGAGGGAGGGCACCGTAATTCCATATATAACCCTTGTGAGGGAAGATATTGGCCACATAGCGCAACTTGCCATCCTTTATGTCCTGTTTAATGGGATTCAATGGCTCCTCCGTGGCGATCTAAGCAGATCATGGACAAAGGGGGACAGGAGAGGAGAAATGATTAATCCTATCTTTAAGTAGTATTTTAAGATCTGCTACTATCAGACTAAATAGTCATATTCCAACTTCCTGATCAAAGATACTTAAAACTAAATTAAGCCAGCCCTTATTTCTTAGAGTACTATGTGAGAAAAACCAACTGAAAAGGAAGTATCAGATTATGTATTTAGGTTCTCTATTATTTATGCACTCATTGTTTCTAACACAAAGAATAAAATGATTGAAATGGCAGGAGGATAAAAATTAATCAACTTGTTTTTGTTACTCATCTCAGGCTTTTTACCATCAATCCTATAATAAAGTTAACTCAAAGACTTTCTTTCACCAAGTGATTTCATTTTCAAGTTACCTTTCTATCAACATATCCAAATTGCCATAAAAAAAGAAAAACCTATCCTATAAAGTACACAAATGTAACTGAAGACAAGTTTGAATAAATACACATTTTAAATTTGGTAGAATCCCACAGATTCTTGATCTTATACCTAAGGTAGAGAGTAGCCAGAATGTGAAACAGTATAGTTGAAATAAGACCAACGTTTTCCAATTAAAATATTAACAACAACAACAAAAATACTACCAGGACCTGGTGAAATTACTGACAATTTTTCAAATAGAAATTCTGAAAATTATACATGTACATAACAGTCCTTAATGTAAATACTTGAAATAATACTTGTCATCAAATCCAAAGCTCCAGAAGAAGGCTTCAATGACTAAATAAACTCAGCGCATAAATTAAATGTCACTCATAACTACAAGGGATGTTACTTAACTGAAGATGGAACAATAACTCTGAAAAGTAAGAGGAAAGTTCTTGGCAGGTTCATGTCTCGTGCAAAAGATAAAAAAGAAAAAAACTAACCAGGGTAACAGCAGATGCTCTCAGTGCTCATAAATCGAGTTGGCCAGAAAAATACTTTCATTCTTAATAGAACAAATTCTAAAGAATTAAGTCCTTAGAAACTGAAACTGCCCCCAAGTAAAAAGTTTCAGTGGTGTCTGTGAACAAAATACATCTCAGAATCTATTTAAGTAAACCTTGAAAATATCTGCATTTTCAAAGACAGGGGAGTCAAGAAAAATTAAATAGGTATATAATAAACTAGAGAGGCAAAAATGGAAAACATTCTCTTTAAAGTATAAATTCAGCTTTGAATAATTTCGCTTTTTGAAATTAAATTTTAAAGTAAGTTCACAAGAATGCTTTCAATTATTATAAACAAGTTTGTCGACCATCCTAAAGTCAAAATGTCATGGCATACAACTTGAGACGCAGTTTTTATATCATGATTATCATTTCCATTTGATATGAATGGAATATACCCATACCTCCATTTTAGCATTTGTCCACCGAGGTACTTCGACAATCATATTAAACAAATTCTGCAGTTAAAAAAAAAAAGAGAGAGATAACATTTAAATTTTGTAACGTATCCTTTATTTTTTCACTTATCACCTGTAGGAGAATGCTTTAGTTCTTTTCCACATACATACAGAAACAGGTTTAGAGACTGTATCATGTGTCTGCCAACACCTTCAATTTCTTCTAAACAACCAGAGAAGTTGCCTAAAACATAGGAGAATTTAAGCCATCATGTCACTTGACCACACTGCACAGCATTAAAAGTTGCTACATTTCTGGAAATACCTCCCAGTATAGGTGACAGAACAAGAATGGAGTCAGGAAACTTGTTTCAATTTTTACTTTCTGACTAAAATAGAGATGCCTTCCACCATGTAAGCTGAATATCTCACTTTCCCATCTGTAAAGTACATGTGATAATTAATCACTGTCCTACTCATCACACAAGGCTGTTATGAAGATCAATAACATAATTTAAATGAAAACACACAGCAAATTATAAAGCAAAATATTTTGAAAATTGTAAAACAGTATTTAAGTCCAAGTTATGATCATAATGTAAAATTAGGACTATCAGTATAAGTAGTTGTAAAGCTTACAAAGAGTTAGAAACACCTTTCTATCTCATGACCTCTGGTTCCCTAAAGTTACAAAAGGCCCATTGCTTCTGTTTTAGCATTTCTGAACTTTGCAGAGTGCTTAAAAACAAAGGAGACTCTGGGTCAATGGTAAGTAAAATCATTTCCTACAGTAACTAGGAATGTAAGTGTATAATTTCCTACAGTTTTGGAGTTACAAAGAGAAAGTCTTGAGGTTAAAGTTGACTTCCATGCCATTCTGGTATCAGTAACTAACAACTTATCATGGCAAAGCAATGGTTTAAGACAGTGCTATCCCACAAGTGGTGATGGACCAGGACTCGTCTGCAAGCTGATTGTTACTGGTTCATTTACAAACATTTCTAGCAGTTTGATTGGAGTAACTTTTATGTCTGCTGAACTTAATAATATCAATTTGAAACCTGAATTATACTTTTCTAGTAATATACTTTGATTGTTTTTAAGTAGCAGTTCACAATAGATTAGAAATAAACCAAAAAATCTAGTCCTTCACCAGAGATCATTTGAGAAACAGTGCTCAAATATATGTGTTCCCAAAAAGGACTCCTAGAGCCCCACCTCCCACATATTTTAAAGCAATTAATTATCCAATTGTTTTTCTGGGGGATGGGGAGTGAGATGGGGGTGCGGCCATTGCTGACTTTAAAAGCTCTCCAAGCAATTTGAATATGCAACCAGAATTGAGAACCTCTGTTTGAAAGCATTGTAAACAATATCTGGGGCCTTCTTAGTAACATGAATGGTATTAGTTCAAAGAATGTCATTTACCCAATTAAATATGGGTATAAACTGAGCCACAAAAGTACTGGTGGTTTTTAAGGTTTTCTAGATAAGACTAAAGTTTACCAATGACAAAACCACATACTCTTAATGAGCTGAAGAACAAAGCAGAGAATCAACAACCGCTCCTTGGGAGCCTGCCTCACACCTATCCCGGCAACCTTACACAGGGTCCTACTGCTGTTTCATTTCCCATGCTCTTTCATGAGGCAGCCCAGCACCTGTTTAAATATGTCTGAAGTCGCTGTAAAAAATAAATGGCAGATGTTCACATAATTTATTCATCCCTGAAAGCCTGGCTCCGAGAGAACAAATGCAGGCAGATGTACACTCAGAGGTGACAGAGGAGACCAAGCTAGTGGCAATCGCCTGACACAATGATACCTCCCCAAACCACTCACAGAGACTTGAATTAGGCCAAAAAAAACAATAGAGGAGGTTTGAATTTTGGGCCTGCAAACCACACTCGCCCTCACCATTTGTTCCTGGTCACCATGAGCATGTTACCTGCCTTCTTTTCCTATCTTCAGCTAAAAAGTGTATGACTTGTAATTCTTTAAAACCCATGTTACTCTGGTTATCCTAACACTGGTTGTTTAATTATAAAGCAATGATGGTCTGCTGAAATTTATCAGACAACCACAAAGATACAAGAGGGCACATTTCAATTCAGAAAGCTGAGTATGAGCCAGGGACACCTTCAGTTTTTTTCTCTCTTTTCAATTTTCCCTTCTATTTTTATAGTATAAATCAGAAAGAAAAACTAGTAATATACAACAAAGCAGTCAGTAAATTTTACATACACCAGGAAACAAGGGAGGAAATCACCCTTCTTTCCTTTTACTAACTTAAAATGTCTAACTTTGGATGTCACACTAAAAACAAAGGCAACAAAAGCAAAAATAAACAATGAGACTACATCAAACTAAAAAATTTCTGTATAGCTGCCCCAGCAGGTGGCTCACTTGGTTACAGCATTCCCGGTCAAGGGCACGTAGAGGAGGCAACCAATGGATGTTCTCTCACATTAATGTTTCTCTCTCTCTCTCTCTCACCCAAAGTAATAAAAACATGTCCTCGGGTAAGGATTAAAACAAACAAACTAACAAAAAAACAAGCTCTGCATAGCAAAGGAAATTATCAACAAAATAAAAAGACAAGACAACCTATAGAATGTTAGAAGATATTTGTAAATCATAGGTGTGATAAGGGGTTAATATCCAAAATATATAAACTCATACAACTCAAGAGTAAAAAAAAGCAAAGAATCCTGATTTTTAAAAAATGGACAAAGGAACTGAACAGACAGTTTTCTAAAGAAGACCTACAGATGGCCAACAGGTACATGAAAAGGTGCTCACCATCACTAATCATCAGGGAAATGTAAATAAAAACCACAATGAGATAGCACCTTGTTCCTGTTAGGATGACTATTATCAAAAGAACAGGAAATAATAAGTATTGGTGAGGACATGGAGAAAAGGGAACCCTTGTGCACTGTTGATGGGAATACAAATTAGTACAGCCAGTATGGAAAACAGTATGGAGGTCCCTCAAAAAATTAAAAACAGCTATTCCACTTCTGGGTATATATCTGAAGGAAAAAACAAATAACCAAGATATTGAAGAGCTATCTGCACTCCCACGCTCACTGCACTGATATTCACAACAGCCAAGACATGGAAACAACCCAAGTGTCCAATAAATGAACGGATAAAGAAGATATAGTACATACACACAATGGAATATTACCTAACTAGAAGAAAAAAATTCTGCCATTTGCAACAACATGGATGGACTTTTAGGGCATTATGCTCACTGAAAGAGGCCAGACAGAGAAAGGCAAACATTGCATGGCATCACTTTATATGTGAAATCTTTAAAAAAAAAAGGAATCAAACCCATAGAAACAGAGCACAGAAAAGTGGTTGTCAGGGGCTGGGGGGTGGGGGAAATGGAAGAGAATTTAAAAAAATCAAAAACTCAACTCAAGCAGTCTGTGACATAAACTAAGTCCTAAGAATTAAATTTTAAGTTACCTGCATAAACTCACATCAATACATTTTCCCACTGAAGCAGCTGTTTCTAGGTTCACACACAAAGTCTCTAGGAACCTATAAAATCACTATTCACCTAGCATGTAGGGCAGTGGTTCTCCAACTTCAGTGCGTACAGCATGTCCTGGAACACAAGTTTCTACATGCAGACGAACCAGTTTCCATAAAGTAGAGAATCTGATTCAGTAGACATGGAATGGGACCAGGAATCTAACATTTACTTACTTATTTACTTATTTATTTATAATCCTCACCCAAGGACATTTTTGTTCCCATTTATCTTCAGACAGAGTGGGAGGGAGAGAGACACACACACACATGTCGACATGAGACAGACACATCGAATGGCTGCCTCCCGCACGACCCGACCAAGACCGGGGACAGAACCGCAACCCAGGTATGTGTTCTTGACCAGAATCTAAGCCGCGACTCTTTGGTCCTTGGGCCAACACTCTAACTACTGAGCCAAATCAGCTAGGGCAGGAATCTAAAATTTTAACAGGTGCCCTAAGTGGTTCCACTGTAGATGGTTTAAGGACCATTTTCCAGGTTAGGAAAATACAAGATGGATGGTAGGCAAGGGTGGTGGGAATTAAACAGCCCCACAGCTATGTCTGAAAGTGGATGCAAAGGATGGGGTCCTAAGTTTCACTTGGAGAAGAAAATGGAAGGAAATAAGGTCAGAGAGGGAAAGAAGGTCAAGGAAGGTGGTAAAAAAGCCACCTGGCACCGGCAAGTAAAAAAGCACTGGAAGAACAGGAGGTGGGATGGCAGACGTCAACCAAATGCTCTGGTCCTGAGTCAGGAACAGTAAAGGCTTCACAGTCATGTGCTTGAAAGATATATATAGAAAATACTTATTTTAGCATATAGTTGGTATAACTATTTCTTTTTTTCTTTATCTCCAAAAGACTTGTTCCTGGATTCTAAAATAGCCTTAAAAACATCTCTTCCCTTGCTGCCCTGGTGTTTTTGGCTCAGTGGATGGAGCGTTGGCCTGTGGACCATAGTCCTGGGTTTGGTTCCCGCTAGGGGCATGTACCAAAACAACAACAACAACAACTCTTCCTTTGCAATAAAAAGATGAGTGCTAAACTGTACACTTGAAAAAGTGTGCAATAAATAAAGTGGTAAATTTTGTTATAAATATATTTTACTACAAGAAAAAACAAACAAACAATGAAATGGTAATATCATCACTGGTACTTTTAAGTGATACCAGAAGAAGAAAAACATCAGAATGCACACGAAAATCTTGTAGGGAAAAGAAATTCAGAAGCACTTTACAAATGCAAACTGTCATCAAGGTCTTTAACAGACAATATAAGTGATTCACAAAAACAGAAACCTTTAGGTATACCTCAGATTCATCATTTCGTGCTCTCTTTGTAGGAATGCCATTTTCCTATAAAAGAAAAGATGGTATTTATGATTGCAATATTTCACGAAAATACAGCTGCACCACAAAGCCATGAACATATGCCTGTTGCATAAACGTCCCACTAAACTTTGGGGGTTGAACGACCCTTTCATAGGGGTCACCTAAGACATAACAGTAGCAAAATTACAGTTATGAAGTAGCAACAAAAACAACTTTATGGTTGGGGGTCACCACAACATGAGGAACTGTATTAAAGGGTCACAGCATTAGGAAGGTTCAGAACCACTAGTGACTAGAGGCTGTCCAGAAACCTGCCTCAACAGAGAGCCTAGAAAAGGCCCATTCATGTTTCTTTAGTATTGGCACCTCCCGGTGCATGGGCATCAAAGTGTTTCATAAAATAAATGACCAGAAAAGCTAAATCTCTCTCAAATATATTCTCCTAGTTTTTGTAAAATAAGCAAAGGCTCTGTTCAATCTTTAAAGAAAAATGCAGTTTCCAGTGATTGTGCTTAAAACAGTCATTTCATTATTGAGATGAAACTCCAGGGAGCGTGACTAACAAGCTGTGAAAGTACTCTGCTGCACCTCCTGCCTGTGAATCCCACCAAGGTGTGATTACTGTGCCTCCATCATGCACTTTTAAATTAAAACAGAATATATGCTGGATTGGGAAGAAAACTATGCCATTCAGAAATACGCACACATTATACATAACTTTTACAGCACAATGACTAATGAAGGAAACAAAGCAAACAGAAAAATGATTATTTCAAGTTTGCTGTGAAATATTACTACTATTCCTAAAATACCACATTCCAAAGTACAAGGTGCAATAGTTCTAATAACCAGCATGGCTCAGAGTGAGGAAAGCCCCTTTACACCACCACGTGCGTATCAATCTCCACAAGCCCAGAATTCACTGGCATATCCTGCTCTGTTCTGCCCTATCCAATTTTACCTAGCCCAAAATTTCCTGTTCCCCAGAACCCATCCTCCTCAGGCAGAATATCATGCCCATTAATTTCCAGTCCACCTTTCTTCCACACCTCACCCTACCTGCTACATGTTCCCAATATTATTATGTTTGTTATTAGGTACAAGGTGTTGTCATGGCATGCTCCCAAAGCAAGCAGCACCCCACCAATCACCCCTCCTTTCATAGCCCTGTTCTAGTTGTATAGCACTTAACACTATCTGACTGACTTGTTTGTTTTCTGGTTGTCTGTCTCCCCCAGCTGAGTGAGAGCTATGTCTATCTTAGTGCTTGAGATACTGCCTGGCTCATGACAGATTAAGCCAGTGATTTTAAACAGTATGCCGCAATAATTTTTAAAATATGCAATAACTGACTATTCAGTCAGAGGCACTGCCCTCTATTACTTAAATTTCCCATAGATTGTCAGATTAAAAAATGACAATAGCCCACACAACAACAGCCATCCGGTGTGACTGTCTTAAATCACAAATATATAGGTCATATAACAGAGTTGTATCTTATTTGCCACACAGCATCATAAGGTTGTGTTTGATAGGTTAGTTCTTGGTACCAGAAATCCTTATATACAAGTACAGGCACCTGATTTTTTTAAAACATCACTTGGAGCAAAAAAGGGTAAGTACCATTCTTTTTTGTTTTGTTTTGTAAATCATATATTTTTTGGTGTACCACAGAATTTTAGTAATTAATTTATGTGTGCCATGAGAGGAAACAGGTTGAAAATCGCTGGATTAAATTCATGAACAAAGGAATAAGTGAATGCAAGCACTTCTGGCCAGAAGCAAGGAGAGATGTTGGAAAACACAAGTTATTGATGTTGGATTGTTCACTGTCCAAAACAAAACAAAATACATGGATACAAAGGCAGGTGGATGCACACACACACACACACACAGGCACACAGTTACACTTACAGAGACACACACAGTAAAATGAAGTTCTTTCTGCCCTCTTTGGTTTCTTTCTCTCTCCAGATTAAGTGACCCTTTGTTCTGTAGCTAAACACTTCTTAGAAGGATTACACAAGAGCAGTTAAGAATACAAGCTATGAGTGGGAGCACCTAACTTCAAATCCCACCTCCACAGCAGACTAGATTTGCGGCCATGTCAAGGCACTTAACCTCATTAACAACATCAGGGTAATAGTAGCCCTAGCCATACTGAGATCATGCAAGGCAAGCACTGCACCCAGCGCTTTGTTAAGCACTATGAGCACTCAATAAATCTTCACTATTATTCTCCTTATTGCTGTCATCATTGACAGTCCAGTCCTTTGACGGGCTAAAAGGCAGCACAAATCCTACGTCAGCGTTCCATAACCTTAGTATGATGCTTTATATTTGGCCTCCAAGGTTAACACCAAGAAGGTCACACTGCTCTTGCATCTGAAGCAGCTTCCCACTTGCTCACAGGCCTCTGCCCTATACTGATCTGGAAAGCCCAACCCCACTGACCAGCCCCCCATGATCTCGATCTGGAATGTAGTCCTGGCTATTTACTTAATAAGAGCTGCGCCTCTTAATAAATTTGGAAATGAAATCCACCAATTAATTACTCAGATGTCAAGGAAAGAATTTCCAAAGTAGGATAACTAACATCCGCCACCAGTGCCCAGTGTTCGGAGCATCTCAGTCAGTCCTCCTGTAGCAGCAGGTCTCCCACTGCTACTGCCTTACATCCTTCCCACGCTCGTATCTGTCAAGCACTTTTAGGTTCTAAGAGAATGGCTATTCAAAGACCACCGTTTTTCCAACTTTATTTTTCCAGCATCTGCTTTGTAGAGTGGTTCAAGACCATGAGCTCCGTGATCAGAAATGCTAGTTGAAAACCTGGCTCTGGCACTTATCCTCTATTTGATCTTAGACAAGTCAATCAAGTGCCTTCAATCAAGTGTCCTTGGAGATAATAACAGCAACTCATAAGAATTAAATAAAATGGCATACGTTCATATGGTGGCCAGCAAATAGAAAAAAAATCCATAAATGTTAACTATTTTATTATTATTATTATTATTATTATTAAAAATAACCCCATTAACTTCGTAAATTAACGTTAAATCTTTATTTCCCACCAGATTTTAAGCTTTATGGTCCACTAACACTCCTTCAACCCCAAGTCTTCCAGACAGAATCCTATTCACATACAAATTCTACTTCATGAAAAAGGCTTACAATCTGGTTGTAGTATCTCCTTATGGCTTCCTAACTTGTGACCACATTCTTTCCTTTCAAGATACTTCCAAAAAAGCATTTTATTGTGATACTAGAAGTACGTATTTTCTTCACCAAAACAAGTTAAAACAATACCTCTTTAGAGTCCACCTTCAGAGGAATGTCATGAAAGGGGGAAATATAGTGACCAGCTTCATTCTCTGGAAAGGGAAAATAAACAAACAAACAAACAATTAAAGGAATGAACTATCCCATTTTTAGAGCAAGTATACCTTTATCCACTTTATACTTTAAAAAGGTTTTAAAAGTATTTTAAAAATTAACTTTAACTCCCAATTTACAGTTTAATTTAACTCTTAAAACTTGCTCCAACATAATCACCAAAAATAAATGTAAACCAAATAAAACATATTTAGGTTGCTAAAATCATTACTTATCCCGTGGCTTAAACATCTAAAGCAAAAAATGTCTAAAATAGACTAAAACCCCAAATATGAAAAATCTCATTTTGAAAATAGTCTTTACTAAGTGAATTGGATTAATACTGATATCAATTCCCTAAGAAAAGCTGAATAATATAATTCCCCATTTCTGCCTAGAATACATATGAACAAAGTTCCTATGGAAATAAAATAATTAATTTCTAACCAAAGTATAATGATACTAAAATTAAGGTACATTTAAAGAAAAAAACATTTTAATAACAGAAACTACCTTATCTTCATTACATACTGAAATGTGTATTTTAAATACTTTTTAAAGTATATATTATTTAAATAAAATACAATAACCCAATAGGCACTTTTATTGAAATGTATCTGTTTCCAAAGGCTGGACAATCATCAGTCTGTAATTCTTTTTTTTTTTTTTTTTTTTTTTTTTTTTTTATCCTCACCCGAGGATATTTTTCCATTTTTTGTACAGATAGAGTGGGAGGGAGAGAGAGGAAGGGAGAGAGAGAGAGAAACATCGACGTGAAGGGACACATCGAGTGGCTGCAACCCGCACAACCAACCAGGGTCGGGGACAAACTGCAACCGAAGTACGTGCCCTTAGCGGGAACCGAACCCGGGTCTCTCCGGACCGCAGGCCGACGCTCTAACCGCTGAGCCAAACTGGCCAGGGCTGTAATTCTTTTCTCTGCTTTAAGTCACAAAGAAAAGTTAGAATTTTGAAGAGAATACAATCCTTTAGCACAGCAATTTTCTTTTTTTTTTTTTTATCCTCACCCGAGGACATTTTTCCATTTTTTGTACAGATAGAGTGGGAGGGAGAGAGAGGAAGAGAGAGAGAGGGAAACAGGGAAACATCGATGTGAAAGGGACACATCGAGTGGCTGCCACCCGCACGACCAACCAGGGCCGGGGACAAACTGCAACCGAAGTACGTGCCCTTAGCAGGAACCGAACCCGGGTCTCTCCAGACCGCAGGCCAACGCTCTAACCGCTGAGCCAAACTGGCCAGGGCAGCACAGCAATTTTCAAACGGTGTGCCACAAGAATTTTAAAACATGTAATACCTTACTATTTAGCCAGGGACACTGACCTTTTTTCCCTTAGACTGTCAAATAAAAACATGACCACAGCCAACACAATAGCCATCAGGTGTGAATAAATAAAAATTATAGCTATATTTTGTCATATCAGAAAAAACATATTTTTTGGTGTGCCCCAGAGTTTTAGTAATTAGTTTATGTGTGCCCTGAGATGAAAAAGACTGAAAATAGTTGCTTTACTAGATTACTGCAGTTGTTACATTGGGGACCTACCATCATGATGGAAATTAACAATAATCTCAACTCTAAGAAAGCAGGAAGCTGTACAAACCAGATAAATTTGTTATTTAAATGAAGGCAGTATAGGAAACTTGACAGAACAGCTGGGCTGCCTTTGTAATTCAGTGTAAAGGATACTTCTAGTACACTAATTTGGTGTTAATTTCCCTAAACTCCAATGCTGCTGTTAGCTGGGGACAAGTCCCTAACACATTATTATAATGTAAACTGAGTGCACATTATTCAAGGCTGAGGAAAACACAGAACTAGCCTAAGCTTGTGATTGCTGACAGCTAAAGTCTGTGAGAAGTGCTCTTTAAAATGGGGTCTAAATGGTATTCTATTTAAATAGTAAGGTAGTAACAGTATGTTTAAATTGTTTTTCTAATTGCCATTTTGAAAGGTAAAAAGAGTATAAATGAGTGAATGGTCTGACTCAGGTAATCATATATTTAGACCATCAATATAAATAAAAATGTAATAAAAAATTACTTCTGAAAAAATTAAATAAAATATGGCCCTAGATCTCAGATAATAATATTTTTGGTGGGAAATATCCCAATACATTCACACAAGAGCGATGAATACAGAGGCCAAGAGCTTGAGTTCTAGTTCCTGAGTTTGATTGAGTTAATCAATTTCTTGGAAACAATTTTTTTTTCTATTTTCTTCAATTAAGCACTGTGCAATTTAGTTATGTAAAAGGAAACATCCTAGATGCTGAGCTACCAAAGTGCTAAAAAGTGAGCTATGGCCACAGCTAAAACGGGGTTGTACTCCATCACAGGAGCACCATCACCCAGTATGATTAAAGAAAAATGAGTCCTCTCGGTACATTGAGAGAGCTAATCACTGACATAATGCACAAAAAAAGGATAAGAACCTTCCATTAAACGTTTTCTAGGGTTATTGCTGTTGGTATCCTATTATGCTCTTTAAAGTATTACAATTCTCTAAAGGTGTATTTAAAGATATGCACTATCCATCCTGATCCTCTGTAAAATGAAAGGGTAATCCATATTGTGCATGAGCCACAGAGACAGAAATTGTCTACTGTAGCAAGCATCGCAGCAACATACGCCACTTTCTGAAGACAGCAGCCTGAAGTACATGTTAGAAATGGACAGCCCTTCTTTTTCGGAGGCTCAGAGTACATTAGTGATACCTCTTAGGTTAGAAATTCATTGTCTGAAGCTCTGACAAGTTGGTTCTTTGGAGTTGAAATCTAGTTGTTGCCAATTTACTTTGCAAAATGTCTATTCTGTTGTTCAAACAAAACAGTACATAGGCATGGTTAAATCATTAGGTCGCTACCTCTCTCCAATACAGTTCTATCACAGCAACCCATTTTCGCCTCTTTAATTTACTGAGGTCTAGTGATTATCTCCATCTCTCTAAATAATATATTTATGATTAGTTTTATCCATTTTAGAAATAATCTACTGATTCCAATTCTGGGAAATAAGTTTAGTTCACTTGACCTCAACTTATTTCTAATTCTCTCTTGGCTAATCTTTATATTTTATAGCTCTTTGTTCATACGTACAGTACTTTCTGATTCTATTAATCAACTTTTACCCTTTTCCTAATTCTTCTCACTTCTCATTTCTGTCTCCTGCATGTTTATATTTTCATTTCAAGGCTGATACAATCAATGTTCTATCATCTAACATTAAACTTTCTATGCTTTTCCTATTAGTACAAAGTTGACGCTTGAACAATACAGGTTTAAATTGAGCAGGTCCACTTATATGCAGATTCAAAAAAAAAAAACTACTGTAAATTTTCCTTGTGATATTCTTTTATTTTTAATTAATTAATTTTTGTTACAGACATTTCCTCTTTTTCTCCCACTGATTCCTCCCCTCTCCCTCCCTACCCCGTCCCAGCTTTGTTGTGCATGTCCATTGTTATATACATGCATATAAGTTCTGTCATTTATCTCTCCCTCACCATCCCCTCTTCTGGGGATTGTCAGTCTGTACTCCACTTCCACATCTCTGGGACTACCCCACATTCCTCAGACTGTTATGTTCATTATATTCCACAAATAAGTGACATCATATGATACTTGTCTTTCTCTGTTTAGCTTGTGTCACTTAGGACACTACTTTCCAGGTCCTACCATGTCGTCTCAAAGGATAAGGGATCTTTCTTTCTTACAGCTGCATAGTACTCCATTGTGTATATGTAGTACTGCTTTTTTTATCCATTTGTCTACTGATGAACATTTGGGCTTTTTCCAGATCTTAGCTATTGTAAAGAGTGCTGCTATGAACATATTCTTTCTGATTGGTGTTTCAGGCTTCTTAGGGTATATTCCTAGAATTGGTATCACAGGTTCAAATGGCAGTTCAATTTTTAATTTTTTGAAGTAACACCATATTGTTTTCCATAGTGGCTGCACCAGTCTGCATTCCCACCAGCAGTGTACTAGAGTCCCCTTTTCTCCACACCCTTGCGAGCACTTGTTGTTTGATGATTTGTTGATGGCGGCCATTCTGACAGGTGTGAGGTGATACCTCATTGTTGTTTTAATTTACATCTCTCTGATGATTAGTGATGTTGAGCATTTCTTCATATGTCTCTTAGCCATTTGTGTCCTGTTTAGAGAGATGTCTATTTAGTTCCTCTGCCCTTTTCTTAATTGGGTTCTTTGTCTTCTTTTTGTTGAGTTGTATGAGCACTCTCTATATATTGGAAAATAACCCCTTATCTGATATATCACTGGCAATTATGCTCTCCCATACAGTGGGTTGCCTTTCCATTTTGATGATTGCATCTTCCGCTGTGCAGAAGCTTTTTAGTTTGAAATAGTCCCATGTGTTCATTTTCTTCTTTGTTTCTGTTGCCGTAGGTGATGTATCAGTGAAAATTCTGCTGTGTATGATGTCTGAAATTTTGTTGCCTACATTTCCTTCTAGGATTTTTATGGATTCATGAGTCACAATTAAGTCTTTTATCCATTTTGAGTTTATTCTTGTGTAGGGTGTAATTTATGGTGTAGTTTCATTTTTTTGCATGTAGCTTTCTAATTTTCCCAACACCATTTATTAAAGAGACTGTTTTTACTCCACTGTATGCTCTTGCCACCTTTGTCAAATATTAATTGAGCATATTGCCTTGGGTCCATTTCTGGGTTCTCTGTTCTATTCCACTCATGTATATGCCTGTTCTTGTGCCAGTACCAGGCTGTTTTGATTACAGTGGCTTTGTAGTATAACCTGAAATCTGGTAATGTGATCCCTCCTATTTTGTTCTTCTTTTCAAGATTGCTGTGGCTATTCGAAGTCTTTTTTGGTTCCATATGAACTTTTGAAGAATTTGTTCTAGTTCTGTGAAGTATGTCGTTGGTAGTTTGATGGGGATTGCATTGAATCTATAGATTGCTTTGGGTAGTATGAACATTTTAATGATGTTAATTCT